GTCTCGCGTCAACCCCCAACCACCGCCTCTGTCACGCCCCACCTTGAACACACAACCCACCCCAGGCGGCCCTGTCCGAGGTGAAGGACCCCCAGCTGCGCCACACGCTGCAGTTTGGCATAGGCCTGCACCACGCCGGGCTGGGGGAGGCCGACAGGGGCCTGGTGGAGCGGCTGTTCACGGCCATGAAGATACAGGTGGGGGGGGGGTTCGAGGGTGGGGGAACCCAGGGGACCTGGGTGGCAGGCTCCCTGCACAGCGCAGCGCAGAGCATGCAGCGCAGCCGGGGTCGTTTGCTCTGCCACAGGAACCTCGCCTCTTGACCCTCTCGCCCCCACCTCAATGCTGCGTTGTCCAACCTCACCGCCACACGTCAACCCCTCCTTCCCTCAGATGTCCCATGTCCTCCCCTCTTCCAAACAAAGTCATCACACACCCACCTTGGAATAGAAAAATATGCAAAACAGGTCGCATCCACTATTTCATATGGGTGAAACCTCTCCCTACCCCCTCTGCCCCCCCCCCCCAGATCCTGGTGGCTACGTCCACCCTGGCGTGGGGCGTCAACACCCCGGCCCACCTCGTCATCATCAAGGGCACTGAGTTCTACGACGCCCCCCTCAAGAGGTACACAGACTTCCCCATCACGGACGTACTGCAGGTGGGGGTGGCTGGGGGTGGCTGGGGGGTGGCCGGGAGGCGGCTGCGGGTGACACGGCCAGGAAGGTGACTCGCACGGGTGACACTTTGCGTTTTGGGGCCTGGACGGTCGAGTGCTTGGTGGGTGGGCACGCTGCCTGCGGCGTGCGCTGTGCTCTTGCCGCCACGACGTGCATTCGCCCACCCTCACGCTCCGCGGCGTCTGAAACCTCGCTCCATGCGTGTGCGCCCCGCGCCGCCGCCGCCGCCCTCTCGCCAGATGATGGGCCGTGCGGGGCGCCCGCAATACGACCGCCACGGGGTGGCCGTTATCATGGTGCGCCCGGTTTGACGAGGAGGCCGCATCTGGAGGGGCTGGGCTGGGCGTTGGGAGGGGGGGAGGATCCTCGGGCTCGGCCGCTCAGGCGGACGCCCACTGGCCGGGCTCAGGCGGAACTCTCACTCGACGCAGGGGACGGGAGTGGGGGTGGGGGCGGCGTGGTGG